CTGTGCTCGGGCCCTCGGTGGCTCCCATGGGCTGCGGCGCCCAGTGTCCTACACAGACTTGGAGAACCTTCCTTTGAAGGTTCTAGCACGAGGATATCCTGGCAGAGGAGAGGAGACCGTGCAGATGTGCTTGCTGCTGCCTTTGAATTTTGCTACAGGGCTCGTAGGGGGAGGGGGAGAGAACAAGAGAGAGGGGAGAGAAAGGGAGATTGGGCGGGCGAGCAACACCCCCTAGTGGAGATGGGCACTCACAGGCACCTGGTGTGATTTTCAAGCCAACTGTGATTCAGTCCCTGACCCAGCAGCTTGAAAATCATGCTAGGCACATGTGTCTGTGCGCCCAAAATCCCAAAGGAGAATGGACTGTGATGTGACCATCCTCCCCGGGGGGCTGAGCTCTCACTCTCCTCTCCATCTCTCTCTGGGGGTGCATGTGCTCTGTGGCCGAGCCCAGAGAAAATGTCGTGAGATGATTTTGTGAGGGATTGCTTCCCTAGGCCACATGCACCCTCCTATCGGGCTGTGCTGCTGCTGAGAACCACGATTTGGGGACACGTCCCAGTCTCGGCACTGACCAGGCACACACAGCAGAGCTGGGCAGAGCCGTCCGTGCACTCGGAACTCGGGCCAGGCCTGGCAGGGTGGCCAGCCAGACGCAGCTCCATCAGCGTCCCTGGGTGCGGGCGTCGCAGCCCCAAGCCCGAGCCTCAGCCCCAGGGAGCGTGGTGCGCCCCGCCTCCACTTGCCGTCTCTCCCCTCCAGGATCCTCCTCTGCCTGCCTCCATCTGCCCTCATCCACAGCGTCCAGACCAAACCACCCGCCGCCCCCAACTGCGAGGACTTCTTCCACCTGGCCAACTCCGAGCTGGTAGGTGCCGTCCGTGTCACCTGGGCAGGCGCACGAGGGCACTGCTGGGGGGCTCCTGCACCTCCCTGCATGTGCGCTGACCACGCAGTGCTGGGATGGGAACCGGCTGAGGGCAGAGCAAGCAGGCCTGCGGCGTGGGCACAGCAGCGCGCCCTCGCAGCCCGAGGCGGTCACCGAGCCTCCCGTCAGCTTCCCAAGGGGACGTATGTGTGCCCGAATCCCAGGAGGAGGCTGGAGGAGAAGACTATGGTGTGGCCATGCCCCGGGGGTGGTTCCCCGCCTTTCCTCCCGTCTGTCTTGCACGCTCACTCGTACTGTATCAAAAACTGAAAGTGACAGTGAGGAAAGGGACAAGGGAAGCGGAGAAATGAGATCAGCAGAGGATTTAAAGGCCATTTATGATTATTAAAGAACTCTTAGCAGAGTCTGTGGAGTAGCGTGTGGAAGTGGAACTGTGTGGACAGTACTTGGCCAGCCCTGGCGTGACGGCAGGACAGCGTGGCACCATCCTCAGCCACAGCGGAGTGCCAAGCGCCCGCTGGTCTATCTGGGCCACCACCAGTGGCACAGAAGCTGTGTGGAGGGCCGTGTGTGGAAGGACAGGGCGCTGGGATGCCTGGGAGAGTGTGGGGCCAGGCCGAGGGTTTGCAGGGTCACACAGGCTGCCGGCCTCTACAGAGCGTCCTCTTCATAACTAAACCCTCGGGCAAACCTCAGCACTCTGCCAGCCCTCTTGTGGATGAAACTGCGTTTCCGGCCAGCTCAACTCCCCAGGGCCTAGTGCAGGGCCTACCCGAGCCTCGACAACATGGCAGTGTGAGTGCCTGTCCAGCTCTGGCCCGTCAGGGCACAGGCAAGGAGCCCTGGCTGGGGCCCCTTGGCAGGGCACAGAGGCAGGGACCGTCAGCAAGCCCTGCTCCTGGCGTGAGCCATCACCTTCTCCTGGACCCTTCTGCTTTGCAGAGGAACTTCTGCTCCCACGGAGGTGCCCTGACCCGCGACATCACCCTGCACTTCTTCAGGGTAACCTGTCTCCCGCACCCCCGCGGCCTTCCCAGAACTCCTGGGGGGCCTCACTTCGGGCAGTCTTCGGACACGGTGGTTCCTAGGGTGCTTGGGCTCTGCTGGGCGAGGGGCCTGGAAGCACTGGGCCGGCTCTCTCCTGCAGGGGCTCGCGAGCGCCTGTGTGCACAGTGGAGATCCTGCCCTGACGGCCAACCTGGCCCTGGCCGAGTGCCAGGCAAGATGCCCCATCCTCGTGACTTCTGCTCTGGTAGGCCTGGCTGTTGGCCGGGATTAGAAGGCTCCACCCAGGGCCTCGGCCACCCACTTCCATGTCCCACTGTGTCTCCATGACCAAGAGAAGGCGTGTCAGGAGGGATGGGACGGCTCCATGAATTTAGTGGGAACGCTTAGGATGAAGACTGGGTTTCAGTTTCTTTGGACAAAGTAAACTCACACTTTAATTCTATTTTTCCACAAACTCTTTGAAGTCCCTTGTGGACAGGGCAGCGCACTGCAGACAGGGACAGTGTGTTCCCCAGAACTGTTGCCCGCCTTACCTCCCCCTCGTCTCGTGCTGTGGAACCCTCGTGTCACAGGCGTCAGGGTCTTGCCCGTGGCCGTCCTCGGCTGGGTACCCGCTGCCGCTGGTCAGCAGAGCTGCCTGTCTGCTCTGTGCGTTCTCTGACTTGGCCATCTTGGGACTTGGGGACAGGCCACCCCAGTCCCTGCTGGAACTCAGCAGGCTCCCCTTGTGGGCCTCGCATGCAGGGGTTCAGGATGGAGGAGGAGGTGGCCCTTGGCTGCTGCGCCGGCTCCCTGGGGTCCTTCCGGGTGGAGTACCGGATGTTACCTAGCCGTTCCCTCCAAAGAGCCCAGCCCAGAGCCCTGGGCCGCACCGCCCACCCAGTCGGCTGCGTGCTTGTGGCTGAGCCGGCAGCCCTCGGCAGGCATGCCTCGGCCCCGCCCAGGGCCTTATGTGGCCAGCATGGCGTACTCCCCTTCCTCGAGTTCCTGCCTTCAGTGAGGCTGACAGTGCCTCGCGGAATTGCCGTGCGCTCTAACTGACGTCTGTGAGACTGCCCGGACCCTGTCGGCAGTGACTGAACCCTGCCGACCACAGCCTGGGGGGCTGGCCGGCAGGGCGGGCGTCTGGGTGGGCACTCAGGCTTCGCCCTGACCTGCTGTGCTCTCCCCGAGCTGTGGTGGCCGAGCCTGGAGCCCGTGCTGCGTCGGCGGTGGGGCTACTTGCCCCGAGAGCTGCGTAGGCTGCAGGAGTGCCGGCACCATGCCAACAGGTGAGTGCAGGGCCATGTGGCCCGTGGGCCCACCCTCACCCCTCCCCTCCTCTCTCTTCCTCCCCCTCCCCCTCCAAGAGGGTCCTGGGGTGGCAGCTTCAGCACCTGGGGACACACTGTGCGGAGTCTCAGCCACTAGCCCCTGGGCCCATCACGCTCTGGCCTGGCCCAGCCATCTGGACCTACTGCCCTGTGTGTGACCCGCTGAGTTGGGTGGTCTGTGTCCTTAGAGGGCAGTGGAAGGAGTTGTCAGTCCCCAGCAAGTCCCCTCAGGGTCAGGACACATGGGAAGGCAGGTCCCACCTGTCAGACAGAACGCCGAGTGCCTGGAACCACCGAACTGTACCTCCTTGGTTTTCGGCTATGTTTTAACCCAGTGGAGAGCTGCTGGGTCATGCCAGTGGTTGGAGCCATCTGTCTCTTTGTCCACTATCCCCTGGTCATGCTGGGCCATCACAAGGCCGGCCATGAGGAACCCAGGGGACCAGCAGTTAGCGTAATGGCTATGTCACTGGACTCCCATGTAGTCAACTGCGGTTCGAGTCTCGGACCCAGTGGCTTAAACTCATGCCAGGCGCGTGTGCATGCGTGCCCAAGATCCCGAGAGGAGAATGGAGGAGGAGGAATTGCAGTGTGGCCATCCCCCTGGGGGGGTGATTTCTCGTTTTCTGTCTCTCTTTCTGTTGAGTGCATGTGCCCTATAGCAAAACCTCCCCCCAAAAAAACACAGGGAACAGAGGCCCCTGGTCCTGAGGCCTTTTCCCAAGTCCAGGGGGCAGGATACCGAGAGCCACTGGGGACACAGCTCGCTGTGATGTCCTCGGCTGGAGAGGCGAGCCCTTGACGCCAGACCAGAGGTGTGGGGTGTGCCGTGACAGTGTGGCCAGGACATGGTTTCTGAGACTCAGGCTATGGCTCCTCCCGTGTAGCTTCCTCTCCGGTGACACGGTTTCCCCAGCGCCCGGCCCAAACTGGATGTCGGCTTCTGGCCTGGCCGAGGTGCATTCGCGCGTCAAGAGAGGATCTGAGGGAACGGCTGAGGACGCTGGACTGCGGGAGCGACGAGGCAAGGCGTGGGTCCTCCCCTCTCCTTCCCCCGGGCGCGTTTCCTTCCTTTCAAGCTGAGCGGCGCAGGGTGCGCCTGGCGAACTCCGCTCTCCCCGGGAACTCGGTGTTCAGAGACGAGGTTTGCAGTCCCCGTCACTGCTTGGAGGTGGCACTTACTGAGCTCGTAGGCTTGGTCAGACTTTCCTTCTCCAGTTTACTGGTAAAAGTGATACGTTTCTCTCTTTTTTTTTTTTTAAGAATGATTTAATTTTATTCATTATTATTTTATTTTTTTGAAGTTGATCAGAGAGACAGAGAAACCAAGTGAGAAAGTAAAAGCTGCCAGGTCCGGGACTTGAACTGTGGTCAGCCATGTGGGACTCCAGCCACCATAACCACCGTACCACCTGCCAGCCCCGATTTATTTCTCTTTTTAAGTTTCATTTACTTATTGACAACTTTCATGAGAGAGAGACAGAGACAGGACAGGCACCCTGAGGGGCTCTCCTTTGCAATCCACCCAGCCTCAGCCCACCTCTGATCTCGGACGTAGTGTGACCTGCGTGTCAGGGAGGTCCCGGGGTCTGAACCAGGGGTAAGCAGCCCTTCTCCTAAATGCATGGTCTCGTGTCAACTCACCCTCTTTTAGAGTGTTGCTATGGGGCACATGTGTTCATCAGAGAGACAGACGGACGGAAAGTGAGAAATCACCCCTAAGGGGGATGGCCACCTGCAATCCCTTTTCCCCTGTCCTACTCCTGGGATCGTGGGCACGTGTGCACACGTGCATGGCGTGGGTTTGAAGCCACCAGGTCTGGTATGCAGAACCATAGTCAGCCATGTGGGAGTCCAGCGACTTAACCGCTGTGTCCCCTGCTGGCCCCTCACACCAGTTGACACTGCTGTGGAACTAGATCGGCAGCAGAACTGAGGCCTGTAACCTAAAACCCTCCAGGCTTCCAAGTTGGTTTCTGCATTTTATTTTCAGAGGGAGCCAGTGCTTGCCAGAGACAGGGAGAAAGTGTCCCCGCTCGGACATCACACCTCAGTACCTCCTCCATTTTTTCAGACTGTCAGGATCTTGGGTGCACACATGTAGTACACTTGGCATGTTTTAAACATCACTGGGGCTGGGGTTTGATCCTTGGTCAGCCATCTGGAATTGGCTCCCCTGGGCCGTAGGGCTGGCCCATGTTTTCGTACTTTTGTTAGAAAGAATTTTAGTGACTCAGCAGGCTCCAGGACCCAGGGTATGACTTCCACCATGCTGAGCCTGCTGTGGTGATGGAGCCTGGAGGTGTCTCGTTACACGCCTACTGGTGCCCCCAAGAGGAAACCGCAGAGGTGAGGCCGAACTGGGGCTGCCTACAGCCCAGGGGCCATCTGCCCCCAGCGCCCCACTGCCAGAGCTTTTTTGACCAGTTGATAGCAGTGCTTAAAGCAAGCATAAGGTGACCCGGTTGTCCATAATTCTCAATTAAACTCCAAAAGTGATTGGAGGTGGGGCTAGCAGGTGGTGTGATGGTTGGGCATTTGGACTCCCAGGTAGCCAACCCTGGTTTGAGTCCCAGACCTGGTGGTTTGCTTTCTCACTTTCCCTCTCTCTCTCTGGTGAGCACACATGCCCTGTAGCAAATTTAAAAATAATAAAATTTTATGATTCTGTTTTTAAAAAAGTGATTGGAGGGGGCTACCAGTTGGCTCAGTGGTTAATGCACTGGATTTCCACATGGCCAGACATGGTTCCTGCCCTGGACTCGGAGCTAAAAGTCATGTCTGCTGCGTGCCCAAAATCCTAGGCAAAGGGATTGCTGCGTGGCCATCCCCCAGGGGTGATTTCTCACTTTGTCTCTCAGGCAAGCACATGTGCCTCATAGCAAAGCAGTAAGTGCGTGACTGGCCTCTTCCCAGGGCCGTGGAGGGTTTTTGTCCTGGCGGTGTGAGTGACAGGAGCACGTGCTTGTGGTCAGACTCAGAGCCGGGCCGTGCTGACGTGACCGTGCACGTGCTTTGTCTGCAGCTGTTGCTGTCCCTTTTCTTCTTCTCTGTGATGGACCTGCTCTGCTCACATCTGACCCCGAATGTAAGTCCGACCTGACCAGCTAAGGTGGCCCTTGCCCCCGAGGGCCGGGCACCAGCAGTGGGAGGCGAGTTCCCAGTTCCACTTCAGACCTCCTGTCAGGTCTCTGGGGTATCTCAGGAGATCTCTGTGTTCCCTGAAGTGCGAGAACCCCAGGCCTTTCCCTGTCACACCGCCCTTGGCTGGGCGTTCTGCCCGAGCCCCTCTTCACGAAGGCCCCACCGTAAGGCAATCTGCTGCACCAGCTAAAAGACTCCGAGCAAAACCAGAATATCTCATTTGGGGCCGAGGGTCTCGCCCCTTGCCCACCACCCTAGGAGCCCGGTCAGAAAGGTCAGCCCTCCAACACGGAGTTCCGGGCTCTGTGGCTCACAGGGTGCCAGCGACTCCCTGAAGGCTTTCGGCGTTTGTTCCGAGATCCTCGCCTCCCTGGGGGAGAGGAAGATGCCCTGGCTGGCGCTCTTTCAGTTGACGGAGACAGGTAGGAAACCCACGCGAGGTTTGACACCCAGGTCCAGTGGGGCCGGACCGCGGTCCGGTGGTTAACGTGGCCAGGTCCCGACAGCCAACGACCTGCTTTATGGCCTGGACCCGGTGGCTTGAGCAACACACCCGGCGCGTGTACCCCAAATCCCAGCAGATTGTGCATGGCCGTCCCCCAGGGTTTTTCCCTGAAGATGTGCCAGAGTACGTACTCACCAGAGACCCAGAGGGGAGAAAGCCCTGGGGGCCTGACCACACTGTACTCCCTTCTCCACCAGCCGGGCTCTCGGGCATGCACACGCACACTTGGCGTGTTTTCACACTACCAGAGTCGGGGTTCAGACCATGTGGTTGGCCGTCAGGTCAGCCCTGCCTGGCACTTACTCCTCTGCCCCTCCAGTGAGCACACATGCCCTCTGGCCAATTAAAAAAAAAAAAAGCCTACAGAGTTTCTGTCCAGGCCCTCCAGGGACCGGCAGATGGCGTAAGCGAAAGGGTTACGTTGATGGACTCCCATGTAGTTGACTGTGGTTTGAGTCCCAGGCCCAGTGACTTAAAACTCACACCAGGCACGTGCGTGAGCGCGCCCAAGACCCTGAGAGGAGAATGGAGACGGGATTGTGGCGTGGCCATCCTTCTGGGGGTCATTTCTCACCATCTCTTTATGGCAAGTGCACGATGCTATAGCAAAAATCTCTCTAGAAAAAGAACAAGTCCTCCTTTGGGCTCATTATAGAAACTCATTTTTCTGAGTATATCTTCTTGCTAAGTCTGTGAACTTTGGCTCAAACAAATTCAGAACAAACTCATTAAGCAACAGAATTTATTTGACTCGAGGTGATCCCGAGGTGTTTTCTGGGGCAGCTGGAGCCACGTCAGTCCACTGCAGGGTCAGCCTGCCCACAATCTACCTGCCATCTTCCCAGCTGTGGGAGAAGGGACCCTCTTCCTAAGTGGCTCAGAGGACTGTCCAGGTGTCCCTACCTCTGCCCCCAGGCCCTGGTGCCTCCACCACACCCCACAGAAGCCTCCCAGGGCACGTGGCATCCCTCACCCACAGAGGAGGCCCCCGCACTGACGAGCACCCCCTTGCAGATGCTGGGCTGGGGCGGGTCCTCCTCCACGTCACCTCAGAACAGCTCCTCCGGATGCTGCCGTTCGCCTTCTACAGGTAACTGCCTGTTAGGGCCAGAGGGCAGCACCAGGCCACTTCCTGGCACCCACGCGGTCTCCTGCCAGACTGACGGCCCTCACCCCTCGCCTTCCCTCCTAGCCTCCTCCCCTGCTTCGACAGTGAGGTCGTCCATAGGGACGAGGCCTTCCTGCGTGTGGCTGCTGACATGTACCTGAGGCTGGTCCAGCTCTTTGTGGCCGGGGAGACCTGCATAGCCACAACTCCCCCCCAGCCACAACTACGGCTGGCAGAAAACCAGGGCTCCAGAGCCAGGCAGGTGTTGGGGCCCTGCCTCTGTTGCACTCCCTGGTGTGCGGGCTGTGCCAGGCTGTCCCACCCTGCCCTACCCCTGACTGCTTGTCCTCTCCAGGGCTGCCCTGTGGAGCTGGTAACAGCAGCTCGCTCCTTTCTACTGTGCATAATACCCCGGTGCCCGCCAGGGAGCTTCTCAAACATGGCAGAGGTAAGGCCAGGAGCCCACCCTGGAGTCTGAGGCCCTCAGGTCCACAGGCACTTGCAGTGCCCTGAGGGGCAGCAGCTGTGCCCTCGGGCTGGGCCGGCTGTCCCCAGTGGCTGTGGCCGAGTGCGGAGACATGCTCCCTTGCAGCTGCTGGCCGAACGCGGAGACTGCGACCCGGAGGTGAGCGCCGCCCTTCTGAGAAGGCAGCCGGCTCTGCCTGGAGCCGACCTCCCCCAGGAGCCCTGTCTCTTCTGACTGGACTCTCACGTGCACCCGCCCGCTCCTTCGTGAACCACTTATTACAAGCACGACATGGAGCTCCTGATGCACTAGAAGGCGGATTACAAATCTTGATCACTCTGAGCGGGAGAGGGATCAGTTTTCATCTGTCTGGCCCGATGCGACTTGGTGTTCGTAGGAAAATAAACTGCTGGTCCGAACGGGGACAGGGAGGCTCTGCAGCTGTTGCACCACTCGTAAGCATGGCCCTGGGCTCCAGGGGGCTCTGTTGCCACAGGACAACTGCCAGGGCCGGGCTGTGCGAGGCGCCCTCATCCTCCTGCAGGCCTCAGGTGGGCTCGGGCTTCACTGCCTGACCTGCTGCAGTCCCAGATGGGCTTGGTGGCCCAGGTGGTGGCTCTGCCTCCAAGGGCAGGGCCCTGTCTGGGGCCTGTGTCAGCGGGTGGACCATGGACATGTGCACATTGAGGTTGTGGGCCTTCTCAAACCGCCGGCCACACTGGTCGCAGGCAAAGTCCAGCTCGGTCTCCGCCTTGTGTTTGGTCATATGGTACTTGAGGGACGCCCGCTGTCTGCACTGGAAGCCACAGACCTCACACCTGGGGGACAGAGGCGGGTGAGGGTGTGCGCCCCGCCACCTCCAGGCATGCCCGGCCCACACTTACTGCAGAGGCTTGGCTCCTGAGTGACGCATCTGGTGGACAAGGAGGTGCTTCCGCTGCTTGAAGGTCTGCCCACACTCGTCGCAGATGTAGTTCCGCACTTCTGGAAGACCAGAGCTGGTGAGCACGGCCTCACGTCAGAGCCGGGGGCCCAGTCACCACGGGGCCCAGGCCGGGACCGCCGAGCACCTGATCTTGCTTACACATGAGAACTCTGAGAAGCAATTGACTGTTAGGGGGTCTAAACTGCATGAAAATGCCAGGGCTGGACCTTCCCCTTCATCTTTTGTGTAAATTTGAAGCCTATTTTTAAAATAAGTGGGTGGGGGGGCAGCAGTTGGAATAATGGCTATGTCGCTGGACTCCCACGTAGTCGACCTCAGTTCGAGTCCCAGACCTGGTGGCTTAAACTCACGCCGAGCGCGTGTGCGTGTGCGTGCCCAAGATCATGGTAGGAGAAGGGACTGCAGCAATTTCTCTCTGTCTGTCTGGCAAGTGCAAGGGCCCTACATCAAATCCCACCCACCCCCCCAAAAAAAAGTGTTTGGAAAACAACTCCGTGTCGGGAGACTTCCTATTCACTTCACCAGTTTTCCCTTAGAGAAAGCCAGGTCCAGGTGTCACAGGTGACAGACCCACAGTGAGTGACTGCACCTCTCCAGACACAGCCGGTGGAGTTCGCTCCTCAGTGGAGACATACTCTACCCTGCCATCTGCAGGCCCCTGCTGAGGTGCTCCCACCCTGGGGCTCCCTTCTGGTGGGGGGCCAGCATGACATTGCATCACTGGACTCCCACGTGGTAGACCGGTCTGAGTGCCAGGCCTGGCAGCTTAAAAGTCACACTGGCTGTGTGTGCACACAGAGAAGAAATTGCGGTGTGGCCATCCCCCCTGAGGAGTGATTTCTTGCTCTGTCTGTCTCCGGCAAGCGCATGCACCCTATAGCAAAACTCTAAACTCAGAATAACCAGCGGCTGGCCACGAGCACTGACTGGCCTGAGCTGTGCTGAGGACCCCAACCTGCACGAGCCCTGGGCAGGCCTGACGGAACCTGGGCATCTTGCAAAACCCGGTTGCAGGTGATCTGGCAACCAGACGGCAGGCCCGTGTTCTCACTCGTCTGTCTACACACACACCCCACTGATGGCAGAGGGGTGGTGAGTTGGCCAGGCCCGCCCTGTGGACACAGGTGTGCACAGCTGCAGCCCATCCAGCTCCTTCCGGGGGGGTGGGTCACATCTACGAGTGTGACACGGCCGGGCAAGGGCATGTGCCTGGGAGATGCCACCACCTTCCTCACACCTGGCACTCTTCCAGCTTCTGTTTGTACCACGTGTGAGTTAGTGTGGCTGCCCCACCCCTGCAGCGAGGGCACGCCTCCACAGGAAGGCAGACAGAGGCAGAGTGAAGCAAAGGCATGCACTCGTGGCTTCATCCTACTGTGGCTACCTGACACCCAGACAGCCTGGGGCCCCGTCCTGAGCGGGAAATGTCCCTCTGGCTGCAGGTCAGGGCCTGCCACCCACGTGGGCCACGCCTGCTGAGCTGGTGAGGGTGCGGCGGTACCTGTGTGGATGAGCTTGACGTGGCGCTGCAGGTACCGGTCGATCATGAACACCTTGTTGCAGCCAGGGTGGGGGCAGGGCCTCTCGCGGACCTCCTCATGGTGTTCCTTGATGTGTTTCTGCAGGACGGACCCAGCCGGAGACCCGTGTCTGAGCAAGGTCCCACCTGACCGAGAGCCATCTCCTGCCTGCCAAAGGCCCTTGGCCCTGCCTGGCCTTCCTGGAAGGCAGATGCAAGTATTGTGGGAGACAGGCTCCTTCGGACCTGGTCCATGGGGCTCCTGGGCCTAGAGTGTCCCAGAATGAAGGGCCAGCTGCACACTCTCCCTCGAACAGTGCTGGCTCCGGCCTGGAGCCAACAGCTGAGGCTCACCCTGTGCTGGCTTGGCAGACGCCTGCCGCCTCGCTGGGTGCACACTAGTCCCCAGCACGCCGCCAGTCGGTTCAGGCAGGGCCACCACTCACCTTCATGCCATCAGCCCCTCGGTACACAGCAGTGCAACCCTGGTGGGGACACTTGTAGATGGTGGGCAGCTCCTCCCTGCACACAGCACAGAGCACATGGAGGCACCGCCCACACAGGGCCTGTGCACCCACACCCCTGCACCCTCACCTCTCACAACGGAGCTTTTTCTTCCACCCAGGCTTGGGCCCAGGCTTCTTTCGCAGTTTTGGTTCTTCAGGCTTCCTGGCTGCTTTGCCCTCACTCCTCTTACTGGAGACCCTGGAAGAAGCACAGGCGGCCAGACCTGTTGGTGTTTCTCGCTGCTGCACCGACATCACTTCTTTCTACGCTCTCTTCAGACGGGAGTTTTCTCACTTCCACAGCCAAGCTGCCTCCAGGCCAACAGGCTGGCTCTACATTCTACCCTTTGCCACCAAAGTCAGAAAAATTCCTGGTCGGTGAGGGCCCAGAGGCCTGGGCAGCGCCTGGGGGTGGGGGTGCAGCCAGGATGAGAACACACTTGCTCCAGGGCATTTCTCGGATCGGAAGCCAACACTTGTCTGGAGACATCACAGAGATCCATGGGAGGAAGCTCCAGCAGTCAGTCCCTTGGCCAGAGTGACCACGTGCCAGAAAAACCCAGGACCATCATCTCGGCTCTAGGCCTTGCACACGCGCAGCGAGGACAGGCGTGAGAAGGGAGCAGCTGCTTCCTGGCCGCAGCGTGCACAGCCAGCGGCCTCCTCCTCACCCTGTTCCCAGAGCCGCTGTTGGAGGCAAGGGGGAAAGGAGCCCTTGTGCAATTCAGACAGTCTGGGAGGTCCCTGAGGGGCCAGCGTGGTGAGCAGCTTCCCCTGGGCCACATCAGATTAAAAGTGACATACACATCCGTCTTTCCTTTTTGGATCCAGACATTTAAGGAAATGTCGGTAACAGAAGGGTCACAGCCAACCCCATACTCGACAAAGACAAAAAGCTTTCAGAGCAGGGACAAGGTGCTGCCCCTCATCCAGCACAGCACCGCAGCTCTGTTCACAAGTAACACGAAGAGGAGCCGGCCAGTGGCCCGAGAAACATGCTGGGCACGTGTACATGCATGCCTAAAACCCTGGGAATGCAGAAGGGGTTGCAGTGTGGCCAGCCCCTGCCCTAGGAGGGGTGCTTTCTCTCTGCCTCTCCCCTCTGTCTCTCTCCAGTAAGTACATGCACCCTATGGCAAACTAAAAAATAAATTCAGTGGGGCCAGCAGATGGGTGGTTGAGGCGCTAGACTCCCACAGCGTTGACCAGTTTGAGTCCTGGACCTGGCAGTTTGCTTCACTTTCCCTCCCTCTCTCTGTCTCTGGTCAATTTTTAAAAGATAAAATAATTCTTAAAAAAAATTCAAAAAACACCAAACCCAATTATGTTTCTATACATACACAATTAATCCAAAAGAGGTTTAAAAAGTGATCACAACAGCCTCAAAAAGAACAAACACTTAGAGGCAGAACTAATAAAGCTGAACCCTTGCATATCGGGGCTATAACACTGCTGAAAGAAGAGGGAGCCAACAGGGGCTGGCAGGTGGTGTAAAAAGCACTGGATTCCCACAGGGTTGACTGGTTTGAGTCCCAGAGCTGGCAGCTTCCTTTCTTGCTTTCCTCCTTTGTCTGTCTCTCACCAAATTAAAAAAGAGTAACAGATGGAAACAAATAAATAGAAGTTGAAACCAACAAATGGGCAGATATCCCATGTCTCTGGATAAGAGCTGAAGGTAGGACTTCCCTAAAAGCCTATACAGATTCCTTGAAAATTCCCATCAAAACCCTAATGGGGCCGGCCCACCCGGGCCCGGCTGCGG